CTAGTATCTCATGGGTCTTAAAATGTGAAATTTATACTTTTAAAGAATATAAAGTTTCCTTTGCTAATTCATCTAAGCCGTTGATAAAACGTAAAATATTATTACCTATTGCATAAACCCAGGAATGAAAATAAGTGCCCTACCACATCGTCATCAGGCGACCGCAATTAATAGCGAAATGTGCACATTCATTAAAAAAAGATAACAAGAGTGAATAACTCATCCCGGTGTTTTATAAATCATTTGAGTAAAATATATCGTTGAATAATACCTATCATGCCTAAAAATATACTACTAGAACCCAAATGTCTGATTTGTAAATAAATTTTATTTGCACAAATCTTAACCATTTTTTTTTTAAATTTCATACATATATTACTATAGGTATTTCTTCAAACCATGTTTGGTATTGCAAAAATGGGGTATACGAGGGTTGTCCCGTAAAATTGTGGACAAGTTGTCTAGTGTGAAAAATAAACATCACTGCGTTCTGAAATTTTCACTATTATTTAGTACATATTTTAGTAATATACACAGCAAATTTCAGATAAATATATGCATAAATAAACAAATTATGAGATTTTTTGCCATGTATTGTATCACCGTACGGCGCATGGATTATAACGTCAAAGTGTCTAAAACAGCGTCAAGTTTTATCTTTGTTGAAAATGAAGTTGGATGAGTCCGACTTAAATTTAGGAATTTCTTTGATACACATTCTTTAGTCTCCATAAACAGCCCAAGAACCAATTGGCACCCTCGTGCGATCTTCTGAAGATTTATTAGTAAGTTACGGAAAATATTCTCACCATCATTCAACTAATAGAAAATCTCATATCGGCGGTCTACTGTAACAGTGTCTTTTGCTATTACATTAGGAGTTTGTCCGTATGTTTTGTACTCCTCAGGGACTCGATCAAAAAAAAAACTTCGCTAAGAAAACTTCTATTTCATTTGTATGCTTAAGATATGGTGATATTTTTATAATCTTTTTTCTTCTATGGTCATTTCAAGTCTCTAAAGGTGTCATTACAACATCGAGATAAAACTGAACTGTTCTCCGGTGCGCCGTAACGTCATAAAACGTCGCCATTTTTCGTGCGTTGTGTTTACCACTTTCCCATTTCGAATGCTCGAGAAACTGCCAAAAATTAAGCAAATGCCTTAATTTTTTTACAAAGACTACAAAATTGATTGTGAAATTAAATAAGGATAATTTTAATCCAAATTTTTTGTATTTAAAAACTTTTATTTTGAATTCAAACTTGTGTATTCTTTCATAAAACCTTGGATTTTTGACCATGCGCCGTAGGGCAATACCTCATGCACATTCAAGCAAAATAAAAACTTTATTTTTGCCTATATTTTATCAAAAAAATATAATGCACTTAAATATTATAAATAAACATTTTCTAAAATTTTCAGCTTAGTGCGCCCATGACTTTTCGAGAAAAACGCTTTGTCCACGATTTTACGGGACAACCCTCGTACATGTTCAAAGGACTGTTTTGTAAACTTTATTAAGTCAATCGTGATAAAATATCTGTTTTTGTTAACCTTAGAAATAATTCCTAATTATTTCTAAGAAAAACGGCATGTTATCAGTTTATCAAAATAATGGTTTTGTTTGGTAATATGTAACTTTCTTTTTGAATAGCATGGGCAGAAACATCTTTTAACATCTTTTTTTCAGTGAAAAAATTCCCTTTGTTATTAAGTTCTTTAATTTTCATACGTTTTAATATAATAATGGTATATTTTAATGCTTAAAAGAATAAATAAAAGATATGATGATGCATCTCCAAGGTTAATTTGGCTGTTGAATTTTGAGAGATATTTTATATACTCTAAGACAGGTTGAATAAAATTAAATGTGCAATGGTTGATTTATGAGTTATTCAAGATATTAAAATTTTAAAAAATATATAAGATCGACAGAAATTTGTGAAAGTCTGGATCAATTTTAAGATTTAATAAAACGTTGTTTCTCTTAAAGATGTAATTCACTTGTTATTTCCTCCACATTTGCAATCAGTATTAAGTATATATATTTTTTCCTCCCCCTCTCTCATACTCTCTCTCTCATTCAGTACAAAACCACTTTATTAAAACTCATTGTTTGCAACGATCACCACTTTCTTCTTTTTAACAAACGTCCGCGAGTGTTCAACAGAACATTTGCAATATCAATGTTTCTAATTTTAACTAAAGTCATTAACGGATAGGGAAAAAAATATAACAATAAATAAAATGAGTTCTATCTTCCTGCTTTGGTGACACAATATCTAAAAGGTAGGAAATAAGAGCAATAAAGTTACAGTTTTAGAATGATATTGAAAATAAAAATCTGATTCAAAGAGGAAACAAGAAACAGACACAGATTTGTTCGGAAATAAAAATAAACTTTCTCATCTATTGATTTTATTTTATAGTTTTGACAAAAAAGGAAGAAAATAAGGAAATTACGACCGATCTCATAATTATTTTTCCTACTTTGAGCAGTTTTTTTTTTAAAGGGAATGATTCTTTTAAACTTCAAAGTTGTTAGGACATTTATACTCCAAAAAATCTTTGTTCTTAGAAATAATTCATTGTCATATTATGTATTGTAAACATTATATGTCAGTGTGTTCCACGGTTGCTCGTCTCAAGAAAAACATAAAGAAAGCAAAGGCAAAATACACATACTTTTGTTACTCAGGTACTTTTTATCTCTTGCGTTAAACGTCTGGTATTTTTAGCAAAGCAAACCATTTTATAACTGGTGCTTGTTTGACACTCTAATGGTTAAGATAATCTTATGATAAGTTTTAAAAAATGTTTTCAATCAGCAATCGTATTCTCAAGTCATAATATATTGTAATATCGTAGGGTGAAATATATGGGGATAATGAACAGTATTCAAGTTAAAAAAAAACACTAAACACTACAAAATAATACAGTTAGTAATAATACTGTCTTATTTTACGTGCATTTAGACAAATATTCTTCATTAATATTAAACTTAACGTGCCAAATATCTCAGCAGTATACAGCTACAGTAAAAAGAACTGCAACTCGAAGTGAAAGGCGATTTTGCTTAGTTTTTATACATAATTGGTATTATACTTTAATTTAAATATAAAACCCATGGGGAATTAAAGTTTTTTGGATATAAGCGTACTTTTTTTTAAATAGTGTCTTCACTGAAACAAGCTTTACTGTATTTTTTTTTCTCAGCACAAAAATTTGACCACATGAGGAGAATTGTATTGACCGAGCCAAAAAGACGGTTAAGTCATAATTTTCACTGAGAAAAAGAGCAATATTTATTTTAACATATGATGGCAATATTACATGTTTCAAAGACTTGAAAAAGGGAGCCATAGATAAAATTTTGAATGCCAGTCAGCTGTTCCACACAAAACTTATTTTTATCTTAAAAAAAGTTACATACCGGATGCAATTAAATAGCATTTCCTTTCAAATTTGTTTTATGAAGTCTTTTTCACATCGCTCATAGAGAAATAATTTTGTCCGTTTTCTCTCAGACTGATAATCATAGACTTTATTAAGAAGTTTTTTTTTCATTTCTAAAAATAAAATAAAGTATAAATATGAATTTCCCAATGACTCTTTTTTTTCATGTTCTACCGAAACTTAATATAATTTCAAATTTGATATCTAATAAGCACACAGCGTCCAATATAAAGATATTTCGTTGAATCTTCGATTTTTTTTTTAGATGGAATACCTTCAAGGTTATCTATTCTACATATGATTCAAAATCTCATAAACGAGAATTCAGGGGTTACAATGGTTGTTCTTCCCCTGATGATGTATTATGCATTAGAATTTTTATTAAAAAGAAGGAAAAGATTAAAAAAAATATGGACTATCACGAAGACCTAGTCTTTTTTTGCATTTGATATAAAGTGATAAAATATACAACCGTTCACGGAAGCTCATTTGGTAGATCGCTCGGTCCGTGATCGGGAGGTCGTGAGTTCGTATCTCGGCCGCGACTGACCTAGTCGATAAAATGGGTAGCAACTGTTCCTTCGCCATGCGCTTGGCACTTTGAAGTGAAAGTTGTGGGTCTTTCGGATGAGACCTTAAAAACCGAGGCCCCGTGTCAGCGGCAGGCGTTGGCACAATAAAAATTCCTCACTGATCAATGGCCCTGAATGCAGAGTAAAAGTCAAAATTTGAAGCCTTCACCGACATACGGTTAGGTCTCCATATAAGTGAAAAATTCTCTAGAGGGACGTTAAAAATATACAATCAGAGACGTCATTTCTCTCTCTTTTTTTTAAATAAAAGTTACTTCCGATCAAACAGGACGAAAAACCTACTCATTGCTTTGCAACAAGCTTTGCTCTAGTTACATATATATTTCTAAAATTATGTCTTAAAAATCGTCTAAAGCCGTTAACCTTCCGACAAATAATCCAAAATGCTTTCATGATATTAAGAATAAACCTCCGTCGTTTACTTTTGTTTAGCAACCGACGTCATTAAAACTCAAATCCAAGCTTAGAAGTGTAATAAAATCACGTGTATGTGATTGAAAGGGTAACAAAATATGTCTGCATCACAAATTCAATTTTATTATGTTCAATACGTTGATAGTGAAAAAGAAAATCTTTATAACCTGATGTTATATGCTGCGTATAATAACAAACATGATATTGACCACTAAATTTCTCAAATATATTCAAGATTGCCTTTCGATGCTCCCTGAAATATTTGTAATATTTAAAGGAATAGAGATGGGGAACAAAAATTTTCCTTTCATATTCTCCAAATTACCCATCTCTACAATTAAACAACAGTATTTCCGAATCTTTGAAACATGACACCGGTTTACATGTAAACGTGTTATTTACATGAAAATAATAAGTTAAACAATTGAAAAGTAAAATGAAATAATTGCATACAGAAAGGTACGAGCAATAAGAAATACAATTGAAAAAAAAAGAATCACAGTGAGATGACGAACAGCAATCAAAATAAAAAAAATATAATAAATAAATTCTTTATCTTTTCAATTACTATTAATATGACCGTCAAAACTGAGGCCACAATGACCCCTGCGATATCAGTTAAATAAATGTTTTTTCAATATATCAATCTTGTGAAAGTGAATTAATTCTAAACAGTGTTGCTTCCTTAATTTTGTGAAATGGATATTGTTGTAACGAATGTTGGTAAGATTGTAGAGCTCCCTGGAAATCTCCACAGATTTGTTGACAGATTCCTAGTATTTGCCACGAAATATCTCTGAGGGGAGGAAGTACATTAGTCCCGTCATCATAGAGAAGCAGAGTCTGTAGATTCTGTAGAGATTGTTGTGACGTCACTGTGTCACCCAGTCTGTGGTAATTCAGTATAAACAACATGTATAGCGTCACTAGAGGCGAGATTAACAATGCAATACAACCATTATTATTACTGGTTTTCTGCTCTAGAATAAGTTCATCTATGTATATGTACTGACTGTGTAACGCAATATTTTTCACTAAAGCATTCCTCATTTTACGACACAGAGACATCCCCGCCGTGTAACGTCTGTACATATCTATATTTACATTATCATGGTAAATAATGTATGACTTTGACATTCTCTCCTGTGCTTTCTGTAAACAACTGAGTGACCGTTCAAATCTCCATGTTCTGTAAAAGTACATTGCAAGATATAGAATATCTGAGACACAACCTATTGTGCATGACAATTTTAACAATCGGGATACGTAACTAGCTTTGTAATAAACCTTATTACAATTTTTATGTTGATATACTTCACACAGTTTCAGCATGGCAGTGTTACGTAATATTTCTGATGTCATAAATTGTACTGTAGCCTCCTGGATGGGCATCAACCTTTTACTTATCTCTATTTCAATTTTCTTCATGAGAGCTACACATTCCACAACACTTAAAATTCTTTGGCTATGTACATGGATTTCCTCAAATAAACTTATTTCAAGCTCAGCGTTAGTAATAATACTACTCTCGTCAGTACAGACTCTCAATGATCTGTATAAGATGGCTTGACTGAGGAATGGTCCTAAGGTTTCACTCAGTAGTAAACTTGATATACCCTCACAATACAATTCATACAACTTATTACACAATACTGCTTGTATGGATTCAGTTACTTTAAATCGGAACATATTGTTCAGTGGAATAAAAAAGTTTGGACATTCTCCGGTAAATACCCAATATATCAATAATTTGAAGCATTTCCAGAAACAAGGCAATAAGTTTTCAGGTGTCCAAGTCAAGGCGTTGTTAGTTTGAATTACCCAAAATACAGCAGTTTTTGTAAAGTATGAACATAGAACTGGCAAATCTTCATTTAAATTAATTACTTCCTTAAGAAATATTTTAAACAGACCATAACATAAAAACTGGGTGTGATTCATTGCATAAACAAGTTTTTGTTCCGCCGAAGAGAATGAAATTCTCCATTCTAGTATACTTTCATCCGTGCTGCCAATAGGAACAACATGGAAACCCGATCTTAATATATCCGATATAACTACCTTGGATGGCCAACCTTGTTGAAGACATCTTTGTATCCATGGTAAAGCTAATGCCGGCCAGTGATGGGATCGGAAACAGAATGCACAATCTGATTCTATATTTTCACTGCAATACGTAGAACAAGGACCATGAGAAGTAGAAGAAGTGGCGTAGTTCTTTGTTTGTAGAAACCGTAAGTGTTTATCACGGAATAACGTACTGGATATATTAATTTTGTTATCAATCTCTACACAGGAGGATATGACTTCTTCATCATTTGATGGAATCGTCAGATTTAGTCTAGTAAATCCAGGTGGTAGATCATCACACTCCATCAGGATCACAGTGTTTTGTGGGATACGATAGAGTCTGATCTGTGAGAGATCACATATCACCTTGTGGTCTGGTGGCCAGAACATAAAATCAAAATCAGAAGTCCTCAGTCTGAATCCCTCACGTTGACTCCCACTAATCATTCTATCAAATCCTCTCATGATGTACACAGGTTTATAAACAGCCTCCACAGTGTCCATCACTTCTCTCCTGATCCTCACTTCAGTAGGACACCCTATTTCATGACACAGTCCTACATACACAGACTCTGACAGGCGAGGTATATCATCCATTTAGATGTATATTCTGAAAATAAGATAGCGGTACTTGTAAGTAGAAAGACGTCTTTATGATCTTTGTATTGTCGTATTTCTCATTCATGTATGTACATTCATTTTACCAGTAACGAATCGGTTTCTAGTTACGTCTTAAACTCAACTCACATCTTTGAATTTCCAAATTCTCTTTGTTGTTATTTTAAATTTGTATTTCTAAGCTTTTCAAATAGGTGGTATCAAAATTTCCCAAATATGAATGGTACAGGTACATAGCTGTCAAAAATAACACCCCCTCCTCCATTTTTCTAGTTTTGAATCGATTTTTCAGTATCGAATCTAGTGCCCACTATTGTTGCTGACTTAATCAGTTAATAAATAAAACCGGTTGGTCGAAATTATTGTATAAATATACGTCAAAGAAGATTCTACATAAAGTATATATAAGTATTACTTGCTGATTTAAATGATTTTTTTTTCTAAAACTAAACAATATGAAACATGTATCATTTTATGAGAGACTTTTAGTGACTTGCGTTGTTTAAATTATATCAACTATTTCATGTACATGTATTTGTCACACGTAATTTTCATGGAATCTATTTTTGCTTGTAAATTGTTATAACGGTATATTCACTTTTGTCAGCTTTCCATGTTCTTGCATCTCGTAAAACGGCGTTGTTGTTTTTTTTTTTTTTTAAACCGTGATTCGTAACTTAAAAGAAAAACTAGAAATATGTCAATAGGACATGAATGCCCTGCCGAGGCAACATGAAAATTCGTATGTGTATAAAATTTGATCAGTTTGGTTCAGGTAGGGGTTATAGTTAGTAAGGAATAAAAATGTAGGTCAGATCAAGCATCCGAAGCAAGTCTGGTAGTGTCCATCCCTAGATGCATCATCCATGCAAGTTTGGTTCAGACAGGGCTTATAGTTACTTGGTAATGAAAATGTAGGTCAGATCCAGCATCCAAAGCAAGTCTGGTAGTGTCCATCTCTAGATGCATCATCCATGCAAGTTTGGTTCAGGTAGGTTTTATAATTACTTGGGAATAGGTCAGATCCAGCATCCGAAGCAAGTCTGTTAGTGTCCATCCCTAGATGCATCATCCATGCAAGTTTGGTTCAGGTAGGACTTATAGTTACTTGGGAAGAAAAATAAAGGTCAGATCCAGCATCCGAAGCAAGTCTGGTAGTGTCCATCTCTAGATGCATCATCCATGCAAGTTTGGTTCAGGTAGGGCTTAAAGTTACTTGGGAATAAAAATGTAGGTCAGATCCAGCATCCGAAGCAAGTCTGTTAGTGTCCATCTCTATATGCATCATCCATGCAAGTTTGGTTTGGGTAGGGCTTATAGTTCCTTAGGAATGGACCTGCTCCAAAAACTTTAACCTGGTCACTCATCAGGAAAATGTAGGTCAGATCCAGCATCCGAAGCAAGTCTGGTAGTGTTCATCCCTAGATGCATCGTCCATGAAAGTTTGGATTGGGTAGGGCTTATAGTTCCTTGGAAATGGACCTTCTCCAAAAACTTTAACCTGGTCACTTATCTGGAAAATGTAGGTCAGATCCAGCATCCGAAGCAAGTCTGGTAGTGTTCATCTCTAGATGCATCATCCGTGCAAGTTTGTATCAACATGTGAAGTTTGATAACACCAACTTGAATGGTATGTTCAAATCTGATCTAAACACCAATTTAAGAAAAGTGACGTCAAGGTCAAAGGAAAGGTCAGGGTCAAAAAATGTTGATGCAGTTGCATAGCTCTCATCAATATCTATCAGCATACGAAGTTTGATAAAAATATCTTGGATAGTTTCTTTAAACTTAGCTTTGAACAGAGCTAAACGCAAAGTGTGACAGAAGACGGAAGGACGGAAGACGGACATGACAAACACTATATGCCCCGGCCATATTCATGGCGAGGCATAACAACACTTTGTTAGTTTGGATGTTAAAATTTCATTCAAAAGTCAATTATTGTTTAACTTAATATTCCATCTTGTTATATATATACTAAATATTGATTACATACTCAATCTGGATTGATAACATAACGGAAAAATTTATTTAGACTAAATTCTTTAATTCGCACTTTCGTTTTCTTTGACTTGCACTTCCGCGTTAAACTAGGTCATTGTTTCAAATTGTAAATACTGTGGGAAATAATCATGCAGATATTACAAAAACACAACACAGGGATAGAATATTCATCCTTTTATTATATTTACCTCATAAGATTTTTAAAACCCGTCACTGCGTTTTTCTAGAATATTTAAATTAAAAAAATATTCGATACTAGCTGGCAAATATTGATCGTTACCGGTAAAACGACTGTATCAAAAAAAAAAAAAAAAAAAAAAAAAACTCTAATTTCCTCTTTCTGTTGTTCAATATTCAAACAATGACCAGTTCAGGCATGTGGCATCGTTTTTGAAAGTGGGAAGGGCCAACCTGTGAAATTTTTTTTTTACTTACCTAGCTGGAAAAGTTGACAAGCAAAAAAAAAAAAACGAAAATCAAAAGTTGCCCAAACACTATACTATGGTTATAAAGTGGGGGGGTCAACCATCCTATCAATGAACATTTACTACAGTAAAGGTTATGTTGGGGAAAAAAGTGGGGGGAGCCCCCCCCCCCTTGCCCCCCCCCCCCCCCCCCTCTCTCTCTCTCTCTCGGTTGCTACGTCCCTGCAGTTTACATATTAATCTGTGAAAGAATTGCTCTTTTGTATAAAACGGTTTCTTAATATCCTACCATATTTCAGTATACACGTTTAATAATATTTTGAAGTGCAGGTATAACTATAAAGTATAAAACATTATGTCAATCAAATAAATTTAACTGTATAGAACATACATACGTTGAATGTCACCGGCAGGGAGAATCTTCAACTGCAGGAAATCACCAAGGCCAGTCCCTACTTTCGGTTTGTAAAATAAATAGATAACCCCATTACTTGTAGTTTATTTTTAATATATTCGATCAGTGCTTACTATCAGTTCAAGATATATTACTGTAGTCAGCGGCGACTCACACAAGTATTTATATTATCTGATCATGTAAAGGACAAAACTGTACGGTTTCAATACAGATTTGGTCCTTTATTTTTCTAAAATATGGAAGTGATGTGAGAAATTAAAATTCACCCTTTCGATTTATTGAAATTCTATGCACATGATGCAGTAAAAACATGCAAATCGTTTTTCCAATATAACCTCCTATATACTTATTGTGACGCCCTGAACTTGAGCATTTCCCGTATTTTCCTAAAAGGTTACAAAAGACATCAATATTCATTGAATTTTGAGAATTTTCTGCATAAAACATTGAAATGTACCAAATTAATGACGTCATATTTCCGGAATAGTTAATCTTCATACCATTTTCTTAAATGATTTATCTTATTCAGCTACTCAACTTATATTTAAGCCAATTCCATAACTTAAATTAAGGAACATTGAAGTTTTAGGGCACAATAAAGTTCAAAACGTACCTTCGTCTTTTCAACATGAAGCTAAAAATATCAACAAATATTATATTTCAATCATTTTCAATTCATCAGAACAGAGAGGAGTGGAAGTTTTTTTTTAATTCAATGTTAAACACGTTCAGAAGGGAAGAAACATGAAGGAGCTTGCATACATGTCATGCACGAATCTAGAGGGGGCGGGGGGTCAGGACACGTACCCCACCCACCCCCCACCCCCCTGGAATTTACAAGATAAAAAAATGTATACTAGAATACTAAAGCTAGAAAAAAAATTACCATCCCCCCCCTTGCAAAACGCTGACCCCCCCCCCCTTTGGTAAACGCGAATATGTTGGAAATAAGTATGAAAAGTGAAAGGTGAAAGTTTTAAAGCAATAGAAGTCATAGATCCTGAGATCAAAATATATATGGGTATCTATGACTTCTGTTGACTTAAAACTTACATAGATATTTTTAACTTTCGAAATTTTATTTATTATATTTTCCCATTTGTATTCAATTATTGTTCCTTTGTATCATAGGCCTATATATCATGATGTTAAGTTTTGTTTTCGATGAGATGACCTGTAGTTGTTTCCCTTTTAGGACTACCTTTTTTTTTAAACACGAACATAACAGTATATGTCCTGTTTACACGGGGAGATTACTGGTAATTTACAGTAAATTAATGGGAAGTAAACTATAATGCAAATTCACATAATGCAAATTAAATCGCATTCACACGACAGCTAAAGAGAAATGAAGTAATGCAAATTAATATTTTATTTCTACAAAAGGCTATTCGTGCAGTAAGGCTATTTTGACGTCATTTTAAATCACGTCACGTATTCAGAACCTTTTTATATAAAAATCACAGTGGCTACAGTTATACATTAGGGCTACCTTTTTTGTTTGCGTGAACACAGCAGTATGATGCCCTGTTCACACGGAGAGTGTACTAGTAATTAACTGTTACAGTAAATTAATGGGAAGTAAACTATAATGCAAATATTGAAATCAAATTTCGTTCATACGACACCTAGAGCGAAGTAATCTAATGTGAATAAAAATGCCTAATTTGGAGAAGAGCTGATCATGGAACTCAGGAGTATCTTTTAAAAAGAATATCACAAAAAATTCCATTTCTAGTAACCATGGCAACACCATTCATCGAAATCAAAAAACCCATGCACTAAATTATGCATCTTAGTGTAGTCTACTTGTGTGCCAAGTTATATTGAAATCAGACCAAATCTGTAGGAGGAGTAGCGTTTTCAAGGAATTTCACAGAAATTTCTATTTTTAGTAACCATGGTAACATCGTTCATCGAAATCAAAAACCCATGCACTAAATTATGTATTTTAGTATAGTCTCCTTGTGTGCCAAGTTATATTGAAAGCAGACCAAAACTGTAGGAGAGGTAGAGTAGCATTTTGAAAAATTGTTAGAAGATAGACGGACAGACAGATGGACAGCTAGACGGACGCACACCTTACTATCGCATAAGCTCTTCTGGTCTCTGACCAGTAGAGCTAAAAATTGAACTCATCTCCAAAGATTGTAATTAACAACCCCCCCCCCTCCCCTAAAAAAAACCCTTCGCTCCTTCAATAATTTCCAAGTGATTGAATTTCAAACAAGACAATTTGATGAGATATTTATTAATCACAACTTGTAAGATGTATAGAATGATTAACAGAAAGTCAATATAGCAATTAACATTCAATGCTTTGAATCAAAACATTAAGAAAATATAGTAATTACTTAACCTTGAATCTTTTAAATGTGAAATTCACAGCAATAATAAAGGGTTCATATATTAAACTGTTTTAAAAAAAATACATAGATGAACTGTACTTTAGAAAACAAAACAAAAGGCACACCCAAATCACAGTTAGATAATAAAATAAAATAAAAATATATAATTTCTGAGAAAATACAGATTAAAGGCTTTCATCTAGCAACTTGCACCTATTAGAAAAGACATCTTTCAAGTCAACAAAAATACATATTTATATACAAAAGTATATCATGAATCTAATAGAAATAAAATCAAAAATGCACTCCAATACATGTAAAATTATCACAGTTCTTATAACAAATAAATAAAGTCTTGAAGGACGGAATATTTGTGGAATCTCTATGTACAAATTTTTTCAACTTTCACACTCATTGTGCAATATAAGTTAAGCACTCTGACAAATAAAAGTTCCATATAGTTCCTTAAGAGTTGTCTGCCCTTTAGTCATTCAGTTGACACAAGAGGGCAGCCCCTTTAGATATCCAGTAGTCTTGAGGCTGCTTAGAAGGCAGGTGAACAAACACCACAAAGTTAGTGGAATGTCCTACAAAAGAGTAACGAAAATTTTGTATTAAAATTCACCATATGATTGATGTAAAGTGACTTCAAATGTTTGTACACAGAGTTTGACTATATAGTTGTCAAAACACAGCCCTGAGCTCTGGGGCTTAAGGCCAAAAAAAAAATATGTGTGTTTCCGGTAACATGTCCCTCAAAATTAGGGTAGGTAGGTAGGCAATTACTTTTATTTTTACTTTTACTTTTTATTTTAACCGAACATTATATTTGACTGTTTTTTAGGTAAACAGTATATGATATTAAATATTAACAAGTATTTTGTTTTCTAGAGGTAGGTAGCAGAACCAATTGCAAGAAATTGATTTACAGAAAAAGACATTTGAATTCTAATCACAATTTGATAAAGAAATTTTGTCACATTTAACAAAAAAAGTAAAATAAAGAATTCAAGATTGTTTTTTCAGGCCTATACTTCTACCTTGACCTCATTGTTATTACATGTAAAGACATGTTAATATCCATTTCTTTCAAGGCCAATAATGTCAGAGTTAAACCGTTGTTGTTAGCTTCAAAATTATGACTATCTCCAAATAAATTTCCCATAGTCCAGTGCCCATTAAGAAAGTTATATATTGCAGTATTAATTTCGTATGAGTGTGGACATTTCTTGAGCTTAAACCCAATGAAAACATGTGATAGACTTAGAGTTGAGTGATTCACATATAAAATAAGTGATGCAATACATCTGGGGCCACAATTTGACACACTAGCCATATCCCTGGAGTGTTTGCCTAGTGACTGCCCCTTACATTTCTTTATAAATGATATTGGAGTGGATTTTAAAACTGAACTAATCATGCTAATAGGGGTCAAAATATTTCTTTTATGCTATGTATTATATATATCATTGGATTCATAATAAATTAAATTTTTCTTATCTATTTACAGAATTTTTTTTGTAATTTTCTATAAATAAATAATTCAGATGAAGGCAGGTGTAAATCGCAAAAAAGATATTTTAAACAATTATGCCAAAATTGTGTTTAAAAACTATGAAATTTATGAGTGATGATATAATTAATGGTTAAATTATTATTTATTATCCATTTTATAAGTTTGATTCCTCAGAAATCAATGTCAATCTTGCCAACAAATTTTTAAACTTGCGTGATAAAACTTGATTTCTAAACGTTTTTGAATATTTTAATGATCAAATTCTATTAAAATAATTATTTTCTACACCTTTACATTTATAAATATGTGTAAAATGGAAGATATCCTCTGAATTTCTGAGAAACAGGTAACGAAATAGGCACTACGCAGTCCCGAACTTCACAAAATTTTCGTATCTTATATTGAAGTATATTACACGTAAAAATCATTATTATTATGAAACCTTTCAAGAAATATGTAGTTGATAGCTTGAATTTCATATAATGCTTTACTGGATGAGAAAATATTGCGTATTGACTGAGTTATATGCTCAGAAATCATCGTAAGTAACAGTCCGCCATTTGGAATTTTGGTGGGACTTTCCGAGATTCTTTAGTTTTTTTACACAAGTAAATCATGTGATTTCCAACTGTAGTATGATGCAGTCATCTGTTGTTAACCTGCAGGTGGCCGCCTGTGCTCTGATAATTTTATAAACAAGCGGTAATTTCAAGTCAAATCAACAATGAAAATATACACACGTGTCAACATGTGGTCAAAAGTCTTACTAAAGGTTGGATGCTAAGTGTTAAAAGTCGTCATTAAAGGGTAAAGGAGGGAACGATCTAAGGGGAAAAAGCTATTATATACGCATGTATAATCGTAAAATGCTTGAAAAGACGTTTTTATTTATTTGTTACAAGTGCCTTTTTAACTGCGCGCGTTTTGAAGACTGTAGTTTTAGAACAAATTACGGTACCTAATCCGGATTTGCAATAAAAAGTGCTAGGGTCGGCGTGTAAAATTAGGGTCGGTCGGGATACCGGAAACACAGGTATTTTTTTTTTTTTGGCCTAAGAATATTGACAAGTACTCTAACCTGTTAAACATTCATTTAACTGTATGATGCTTTACCTGTTGTGGACAGGACTCCAGCCCTGGCTGATGTCTTGTACAGTGGGGCGATGTAATCTGCCTCGTCAGGCACAAAGTCCATCTTAGGCTCCATGTGGAACATACACAGGGCCGAGTTCATTATGCCTTTAATGGAGTCCGTGACCACCATTTCCTTCTCATCCCAGCGGAACCCATCCATAAACATTCCATGGACCAGCACACCATCTTGAGGAGTGGGCAGCTGTAAGGAAAATAAAGATGTTGGGTAATAAGTAGGTTTTATTTAAACTTCAAATCTTCCTTGGGTTGAATATTCTGAAGCCTGTTCAATAGAGCAAGCGCTCGCAAACATTTCTATTGGATCAAGCCAAGGTATAAGAACTTTTGGTGAGCAGTTGCGAATGCTTGCTGTTTTGAACATGTCTCTTTTTTTTTTTCTAAAGGAACTGTAAATTTTATTGAAAAAATGACTCCATTTCTTCAAAATTCTGAGTTTCAATATGGTCAATTTCACTATGGTCAATACAATGCTCCTTACTTCTTTGTCAAGCTCGATCTCCTCCCCGAATTTGAGTTCCGCCATCTGAGCGGTGACCTCCTTCTGCTCCCGGAAGTGAGGGAGGGGGTGGAAATGGAAGGTGAGGTGATCTATGGGAAGGTTGTACTTTCTGGCATAGTTCTGTAGGGTACCAGTCAAGAATCCTACAACAGAGGGAGAAAAAACATAAAAATAGCCATCAACATAAATACATGTAGGCCAATCCCAAGCATACATAAATATAACAAACAATACGCTCCTTACTTTAATATTGCTGAAAATTCAATAGCTTTGAGTGCTAATCAATGGGAACTATCCAAGTTTTGAGGTGTAGGAATCAAGAAAAATCAATTTTCCTTATATTTCTCTATAGGCTTTTTTCAAAATAAAAATGTTTAAAACTGAATCCTTAAAAATGAGGAAAAAAACAAACCTTGTGGGAAGAAGAAGCCAGACATCCAGAAAGACTTGGGCTGTCCGTGCCTGACCCAGTTATCAATGAAGGCACACCTGTAAATGAGGTCATTGACCCAGCTACCCAGGGGCTTCAGGGAGGGGTAGGCGGCATTGGCCCACAGGCTGGGGACCTGACTGTTGATGAAGGCTTGGTAGACAAGTTCTAATTCATCACTCATCACAACAAAACCTTTAATGGCTTTCTTCAGCTGATCAAGAGAGTTCTACAAAGCACAACAAAATATGACAATGTAAGAATTAATAATAATACAGAAAGTGTTTAAAGGTGTCTTTATATACAATATATATACACTGCATTAAAAAATTCTAATGTTAAAGCATTGGAGATAAAAAAAAAAATGTCTTTTATGTAGTTTTCAATATTCTTTTAAATATTGCAGGTATATGTCTCATTCCAGATTCCAAGAAATAAAATATATTCTGTTTGGTACCAAAATGTAATCAACTGCTTGGATGCAAATCCCTGTTTGCATTTAAGACTGGAAACATATAACATGAATAAGAAAAGCATTTGAAAAGATTTGGAGAAAAATCATTTGCACATGTTTATTAACATAAATATTCTTGTAACAGAAGAATCTTTCATTTTAAATAACCTTGACCTCTCCTTACCTTGATGACCTTCAGAAGTTTGTTAAATCTGTCCACTTCCTGGGTCAGCACTGTGGTCAGTGAATTCAGTCGACCTTTCTCGTCCGGCTCAAACATTTCCTGATTGGCCTGCTCAATGTCCAGTTTGTCCATCAGTTTACCCAGAATGCTCTCTGCTAACTCGTACACGATCTCGTCGTTGGATTTTCCGGTTCCACCACTGGACTGACGGGGCTGGACGTCCAGAATGGTCTGGATCAAGTGGTTAGTCTCCTCTGCCTGGAAAGCAATGTTGGCATTTTCGTGCATGCCAAAGATCTCTGGTTCATCATTAATAGGTAGGGTCTCTATATAGTCTCTGTACTCCTGTAGGGTAGGGTAGTCAGGGGCATAGTATATACCTGTAATAATTAACAACACATCAGCATTTATTTCATAATTAATTTCTGTAGTTAAAAATCTTTATCCTAACATCACAAATTTTCAATGTAGGATGGGAATTTGAAAAATAAGCAACAAAAATTATCAATGTATTCTGCAGCAGAGAGAAAAGATAAGGGCATGCTATGGAAATAATATACTCCATTTGTAAATGTGACATTCATCTAGCAGGAGCATAGTGACATCATGCACACAAGTTAAAATTGCTGAACTTAGGTATCTAAAATGCTTATATATTGAATACCATGTATTTGTCAAAGTCTGTATCTCTTATCCTTTTAGTTTTTCATGCTTGGTATCTCAGATCCTGAATTAACAGTCCCAACTGTTGGAGATAATAGGGTCTGATTGTATTTGAATTTGTTACAATTCGTACTTTCAGACTGGACTCCGACATTTATGGAGTAAGAATTGACAGGTGTATAGTTTTACCTGAGGGTGAGTACTTGTAGCCCTCCTCCAGTGTGTTGGGGTAGAAGAAAGTCTTAAGGATGGTCTCCAGGCATCTCTGATCAATGGCATCTGTCACACGACCTCCATAGGTGATCTGAAGTAATGGAAAAATTAAAACTTGTATAGTTATAGTATCCTGGAGGAAGAATTCACTGAAAACCGTGCAACTATAATTAATTATGAATGAACAGGATCTAAACCAAAATGGAAGGATAGAAAATACTGCTTTTACAGCAAATTTCTACGCAGCATCATTGCTTTGATAATTATCAATGTGGAATCCCTGAATAATTACATAACAGATTCTTTTTGAAATTAAGTACCTGATTCACAACAAATATTTATTAGCAATGGAATAAAAGGAAAAGATTTGAGGATGAAAGTACATTGTATAAAATAACATCTCAGATAAGGAATTTACTTTCATACCTAAACTTGCCAATATATTGCCAATAAATGTGCATCCTTTAAAACTGTAAGTTTAGATTTTTACCAATTTTACAAGGACAAGCTTTACCTCTGAGACATTCAGAATGATACATACCATGCCTGTGATGTAGATAAGGGCATCCCATGGAATGATTCCCTCGGCACAGAACATCTGACAGTTCAACTGAGCACACTCACGATCATTCTCACTGAACTCATACTGAAATCAAACAGAACATCATAATGCCCTTAACATCAGACAATTCAAATGAGCACACTCACATAACTAAACTGATCATACTGATATTAAATTAAACAGGTTGTCAAAAGATTTGCATCTGACAGTTCAATGATACCTAGTAACGAACCCAACCAAATTGTTGCTAAAATAAATATGATTAATTATGTCTGTCACAAACACACTCATTGTCAGTTCCTTCTCCCATTTTGCAATTTTAAAAATATTTCTGGACAAACTACACATTTGTCGTAGCAAAAATACTTGGAGAAAAATATATACCTAGTAGGTCAATCTTAATTACTGATGTCATAAATTAACTAAAGCAAAAGTTCTTTAAGGAGGAGGCAGCTTTTCTAGCATATAAAAACAAGATAACTTACCCTGATGTTCCATCCCAGTGGACCAAACTTCTTCCTCTCCAGAATAACAGCATGGAAGAAACACACGCCGAAGATCATCCTCTTCCACTTGGACGCAAGCACTGAAAAAAATCACAATTCAATATCAGTAAAAACAGTAATAAAGTCAGTCAGAGGCCAGCAGTTATGTGTATATTATACCAGAAAAAAATTCAGCACAAATGTTTTAAAGCCCTGAAAATTTACTTTCTTTTGTATGATGGGGTGTATATATGTATATGACATAAATGTATCAAGACAATACTTAAAAAAATAGATTAAAGTCTCTTAATATATTAAAAATGTCTAAAATATTGGGGGTTTTTTTCATGTAGAATTATTTTTTTTTCTTAATATAGCTGACTAAATCACATGTATAACCTAACAATAACATAAATTCAAACAATCAATAAAAAAGATGGTATTTTGAGCTGTGCACTTCCATATCTCAGCTAAAAACAAAATTAATGCTAGGTAATAAAAACATAGGTAATCAAAGATTACGAAGCTCACCTCGACGAATGTTATCAGTTTAAGTAATGCAAATCTCACATCATATTTTCTTAATATTAAGTATTCATCCCAACAACAATATTCTTGCAAGTTGTGTTTAACCCCTTACATGGTTAATATACACATTTCTACGCATGTAGCATGAAAAACATGTATAGTATAAACAAATATTCATAACTTTGTTAATACTGCAGATATCAAAGACTAAAAGTTCATTCGGATTGATCTGTTCCCAAAACTTTAACCTGGTCTCTTGTTTGGAAAATATAGGTCAGATCCAGAATCTAAAGTAAGTCTGGTAGTGTCCATCCCTAGATACATCATCCATGCAAGTTTGGTTTAGCTAGGGCTTATACATGTAGTTTCTTGGGAATGAAAATGTAGGTCAGATCCAGCATCCGAAACAAGTCTGGTAGTGTCCATCCCTAGATATATCATCCATGCAAGTTTGGTTTAGCTAGGGCTTATAGTTACTTGGGAATGAAAATGTAGGTCAGATCCAGCATCCGAAGCAAGTCTGGTAGTGTCCATCCCTAGATACATCATCCAGGCAAGTTTGGTTCAGGTAGGGCTTACAGTTACTTGGGAATGAAAATGTAGGTCAGATCCAGCATCCGAAGCAAGTCTGGTAGTGTACATCCCTAGATGCATCATCCATGCAAGTTTGGTCCAAATAGGGCTTATAGTTACTTGGGAATGAAAATGTAGGTCAGATCCAGCATCAGAAGCAAGTCTGGTAGTGTCCATCCCTAGATACATCATCCAGGCAAGTTTGGTTCAGGTAGACCTTATAATTACTTGGGAATGAAAATGTAGGTCAGATCCAGCATCCGAAGCAAGTCTGGTAGTGTCCATCCCTAGATATATCATTAATGCAAGTTTGGTTCAGGTAGGGCTTATAGTTACTTGGGAATGAAAATGTAGGTCAGATCCAGCATCCGAAGCAAGTCTGGTAGTGTCCATCCCTAGATGCATCATCCATGCAAGTTTGGTCCAAATAGGGCTTATAGTTCCTGAGGAATGGACCTGCTCCAAAAACTTTAACCTGGTCACTCATCTGGAAAATGTAGGTCAGATCCAGCATCCGAAGCAAGTATTGTAGTGTCCATCCCTAGATGCATCATCCATGCAAGTTTGGTCCAGGTAGGACTTATAGTTCCTTGGGAATAGACCTGCTCCAAAAACTTTAACCTGGTCACTCATCTGGAAAATGAAGGTCAGATTCAGCATCTGAAGCAAGTCTGGTAGTGTACATCCCTAGATGCATCATCCATGCAAATTTGGTCCGGGTAGGGCTTATAGTTCCTTGGGAATGGACCTGCTCCAAAAACTTTAACCTGCTTCAAAAACTTTAACCTGGTCACTCATCTGGATAATGTAGGTCAGATCCAGCATCCGAAGCAAGTCTGGTAGTGTACATCCCTAGATGCATCACCCATGCAAGTTTGGTTCAGGTAGGGCTTATAGTTACTTGGGAATGGACTTGCTCCTAAAACTTTAACCTGGGACGCCGACGCCAATGCCGGGGGTATAGCATAAGCTCATCTCGACTTCGTCGAGGTGAGCTAAAAATTCTTCCTACCATGCTCCTCAAAGAACTGGGGTGTAATTTCAGCAAAAGCTCTCCTCATGTTGGCACGGATGCCCTTGGGTGGTTCATTAGTGACCTTGACACTGTTCTGAAGGACACTGACGGGGAAATGTCTGGCCGGCATGGAGCTGAGGAAAAGTCGGAAGTCCTCGTGGATTTCGTCCGGTTTTTCAGACATTCCTTTTACAGTGTTTTCCATGGCCAACATCCAAGATGCTGCTAAGTGACAGTTCTGTAGGAACACCCAGTCACCGGTTTTCACGGCTGCATGGATTAGTTTCTCGGCAACTGGTCCCTGTCCTTGACCCAGAGAGATGGACTGGACTCTGTCACAAACACACAAGATGATTGAATGAATCAAATATACATGTATCAATATTGTATAATGTGAGTTGGAAAGTTATCACATAAAGTTATATAATTTTACATCATGAATTTATTAAACAGTTATCTTGTGCTATAATATGCTAATTCTTTGCTAGGTCAGTTGGTTAAAACACATGTACACATTCCTTGAATAGCATAATGACTGAAAAGTGAGAAAAATATGAGTCAAGCGAAATAAGTTAAAAGAAGTTAATCGAAACAGATAACAAATTGAAAATTAAAATTCTACATGTTTTTAGACGGAGGCTGTATTACAGCCTCCGGGTATAGGGATTGTCTTGCCCATGGAATGTAAACAGGAAAGATTTCCCAAGCACCATCTATCGGTGGAATTGTTTTCATTACCTTGAGAATTCTATTTTTAGAGCGACTCTGAGTAACACCGACCGCAAGGATAGGCATAGTCTAAAACAAAGATTTAAAACAAAGATCGCGTCACATACAAGTATAAACAAACAGTTATACTTTTTCTAAATAAACAGGATTTGTCTAATATTTTTAAAATAACGTGTATATAAATACATTTCCTACGGAATATGTAAAAAAAAAAAATGTGATTTACTATTAATTTTTTATCATACAGAATATTAGGAGATTTTGTTCCAACAGACGATGATAAAGCATGTTTTACAATATGCCGAGCCTTTTCCCTCCGGTTCTCACACCAAAACAAGAACGAGAAGAAATGAAGTGGCGGATCTAGAGGGAGTTTGGGGGGGGGGGACTAACATCCGCGGAGAGTGATCGAGGAACCCCACTTATCAATTGCTTCGTTTATTAAAGTAAAAAAAATCTCTAGTTACAGATAAGTTTAAACTTTAGTTTTATATTTAATTGTTAAAACTTCAACCAGAATTCGCCTGTATCAAACTAAGTGTGGAGACGCAGATGTACCTGTATTATGTATTGAAGAAAATCCTGCAATGCCGCATGCAAGTGTTTTATGTCGCAGGTATAAATATAAGATATTTTAATAATAGATCAAGCATTTCAGTTTTAATGGAATTTTTTGTGCTTGATTGCTGTTTGTAATCTCAATTTCACTCCTTTTCTAATCTCTTCTTGAAAGGGCCGATAAATTGGTTTGCGGCCGATTTTTGACGATTGCATCAATAGGTTTCATGGAGTTTTTTAATCTGACAAGGATCGATGAATATAAACAAATGCATAGTATTTTTATCTGTAGGAATATTAACAGTCTAGTTTTGAATTCTTTATTTGCAATTATGTATAATTTCAGGAAACACATGAAATAGATTTACACTTTCTACAAGCGGTTTGAGTGTTTGGGGTACCCTCACATTAGATAAGAGAGAAACAAACGGCAACTCTGATATTGAGATCAAAATGCATTTGTAACTTTTGACCCTTGGGTACAACCAAAATCTTGGTTCATAGGATTTACATGATTTATCACATTATATTCTAATTAATAATTAAAAATTATATCTTCTGAAATAAGTTGTCTTATTGTCATATCGTTGATCCTTATTTGCATTTGATACTTGTGTTTTACCTCTTTCACATCTCAAACTTTAATTATTTTTATATACAAGATTACATGTACTTCTGATCATTGGTTTTCATGTCAACTTTTTTTAACCTACATCATTGGTAAAGTGATTGTTTTAACAGAGTTACTGAAAAGCAGAAATCATAGTTATACCGGTATATTTATTACCTTTCTCTACGAAATTTGTAATCATGTCTCATTGTTAATGATTGTTTTAAACAGATAAACTGAAAAAGACAATCATTTCCACTGGTATACGAGTAAAGAAAGACATTTTTAGGGTTAAATCTGTCATATGATAAAAAACTACATTTAAGAATTCCAGAAATATTGGATGTCAAATTTGTCAAGATATATCTTTGTTATTGTAAGCAATACTCCAGTTCTCCAAAAACAATTTAAACTTGTGAAATAGCAAGTATTATGAACTTTATTGTTTTGTTTACTTTAAGTAAGAAAGTATATTTTATTCCACTCAAAAAATTGTGTTCTGGCACATTCCATTTTGTATCACAAAGGTTTAAGACAAACTGTACTATATTATGCTGTTCATGTCCAATTACCTGGCTGCTTCTTTTTCCATGTTAGCTCATATCATAACATTATTACAATAAGGCCGAGAAATTTTGATTTTGGTAGCTGTTACATGTCATAATTATGTTAACAGTAGGTCTCAGTGACCTATAAATAAGATATCTTGAAATACAATGTATGGAAACTCCTGACTGGCTGATGCGTAGTGCTGAAACCAGTAATTCTGAAAAAGGGGGACCAGTTTGAGGTCAGGGAAGGGGCCCACAGCCACAATTAAAACACTCATCAAATATTGCGTATTTTTTTGGACTCAAAAGGGAGGGGGCCGGGGGCCCCTTTTAATTCCGCCAGTGGGCTCATGACTAGAACATACTAGACCTACATTCATCAAACCGGGCCTGGGGGCATACAACTTATATTAGACAAGCTCACTTTTGATCTCAGTCTCACTTTTCCACTATATATTCCTTAAGTGAGACTGGGATAAAAAGTTAGCCCGTCTAAGTTTTATGTCAACCAGGCCTAGTCAATTACTGTTTCTTACGTTGAAAGGTTTAATATTGAAAGTATCTCATCTAAATAACAGTGAACTTTAATCATGGCGAAGTTTACATTACAAAGATGAAATTATAATATCCCAAAAACCTCATGAATATTGGAGTATCCTTTGAAAAAAAATGTTGAATTGAATAAAAAAAACTACACATTATTTCTCAAAATATTCTTTACAGCTATGTATGATATATATATTTCTTTTGTGTTCTCTCATACATGAAGCCTCCGTCTAACAGTACTTTCAGTACTTTGATTTTACTTGTCAGTGTATCCCTTGTCCCTGGCAAACCTGAGGAATGCCCCCATGGGATCTGAGCCGGTACTGAGGACGAAAACGAGGGGGGTGATGTTGTTCATATCATCGTACAGGGTCTGTAGTCCCACCGGCGGGCTCTCCACAAACTTCTTACCCAGGTTCTCACTCACAAACTCTGTCACCGCAAAGATCGTCTGTAAGGCATGGGAAAATTTTTAAAATTAGTTAATGATTATGTAAAAGAGAGAAGTTCTTTACATCTGCATTGAAGATATTAAGTAGATTGAATTGTACTTCTTGACTTTTTTTTTATTTACAAGAAGAGGAATATGGTTACAAAAGTCACAACTGAGCAAGCAAATTCAACTGAGATTACAAAGACTTTCATAACAGAAAATACATGCTATGCAAGCAGTAAAAAAAACTCTTGATAAAAGGAGTTTAGA